TGTGGACACTTTAGCATCGTAGGAACACGTGAACACGTCGTAGGGCCATTATTTTTCCTAAAGGGTTAGGTTTCATTCCCAAGCGTTCTTTGGAAAAGTAAAGTCTCAAATCCGGTAACAGGGGAATAAATTGAGAAACTGGTGTTTAATTGTTTTTGTCTAAAACTTTGTGTTTTCTAGTCTAACGACACGTACAAACCTCCAACTCCTGGCGGTTTTTCGCTAAATTCCGTCACAAGTTTCAATGTGGACGAAGTGGCAACCAAGAATGAAGAAAGGCTGAGAAGACTGGAGATGATACAGCAGCGAGGGGCGGGTCAAGGTAGCCGTGGCAGCTTATCGGGCGATCCAGATCAAGTATTACAGAGATTCATTGACGAGAGAAGGTAATTTTTACATCTTATTTCATGCTAATTTGCGCAGTAAAAGTATTGTAGTTACGTTCGGTACGTTCGACGTGGAAGAGCGCACTCCTAAAACAGATTAGAGAGACTGTGTAAAAACCACAGACGTTGAATGATAGGCCCTTGGACACGTATCTGGATTCCCAACCAACTTGCCAAAGGAGAGAGAGAGAGCCTGGGTTGGAGAGAGGGTCTGTATTTTTTGTTATTATTATTTCTAGTAAATAGGCTGATTTAGCAACAGAACGGGGACGTCATTTGACGACAGGAAAGCGCGCGGGAAGGACTAAACTCGACTTCCGGTGCCCAATTTGCCGCTCAGCCATTGGTCAAGCCAGTTGTTTGATTTGCTCGCGCCGTCGTCAACTAACGTTCCCGTTCTGTTAGTAAATCAGCCTAATATTACCAAGTGGACCTGTAAGTTTAAATTGAATTTGCGTTAATATTGTACGAAGGTGTAGTTGAACCTCTCTTAAGTGATCTCCTATGAGATCCGGTACTCGCTTACGAGAGGTTAAAGCACAGTGGGCGAATTAAGTATTTGATTTTGGAAGTACCTATACCCCTAAAATTAAGTGCAGTCGTAGTCAAAAATCGACATCCTCGACTTAAGGAGACAAGGGGTTTAGTACGTCGCCTACATGACCGATGTTTGTAGGGGCTGTTTTTCATGGAGGGAGGAACATCCTAGCACCAGGAAGATCCTGAAAAGCGGATCATCCTAGCGCCATATGTTAGATTCAGTTTACACCCAAAGGGTTGTACGTGTCCTTAGCGCTAGGATCTTCACAGCTGAGAGGTTGGAAGATCCTAGCACCATGTAAACTGCCTTCGCTACGAAGATCGTAGTACTAGAGACAAACAGAACAAAAATGGCGGCGATTCGTTCAATGAGTAATCTTTAATCTTTATTCCCTTTTCTACTGTTAACCACACGGACCGAAATTTCTGCATGTAGATCGAACGAAAAGTCGTTCCGCCTTGTAGGATCTTCCTGGTGCTAGGATCTTCCCTTCTCCATGTAAACACCTCCTTTGGGCTTTCTTCATGCGGTCATGTTGTAGAGAAGTGGATTTATATGTAACAGTTGCATGTCTTTGTCAGTACACTAAAGTGCGTTTCTCGTCTTCTTTTCTCTTTACAGTCGCCCTGTTCCCCTCGCCAGTAGATTGTCAGAAGCGTCGCTTGAAGCAGAAACGTCTTTCGAACCAATATAGATATTCAATAGATACTCAGTGTAAACTCATTCTCTGAGAACACTTCCGTGGGTCGCGTAACCTTTTAGATAGTTTGGACTTGGTTCCATAACGTTTTTATTTTCTACTTAAAGGTGTTAACGTAATTTATTGTTAACTGTAGTTCATCAAGTGGTGTTGTTTAAGATATGTATTCTAGCTAGCACTCTTGGTTAGCGGAAATTATATATGGGATTGTAAGAAGATAAGGTACAACCCCCACAAAGCCGACCTTCCCTGGAGTAACATTCTACCGCTAGAATCAGACTATAAGAGCCAGAGGGAGAACTAAGCCTTTTAAATCCAATCCAGTCGTTCAGTCATGGTCGCCATCATATCACAAACAAACAAAAAACTTTTATTCACACATATTAAACCTAAATACATCCAGTTACCCTGGGAAAAAAAAAACGCTATTCGTGTGGGATATCACCAAATCACACTGCTCTTAATGTCAACATAAAGCTTTCTAAGTAATAGATCAAACACGAGGCAGAGTGTTTCACCAACACCGAGAGGAATTTGATGAAACATTGTGTTTCGTGTGGGATATAGCTGCGCTCAAACGAAGTGATTTGAGAAGCTATGTTTCTGCAAGACATACCACAAGTCTAGCATACGTGTTTGCTGATGCACATCTTGTCACCTGGGAAAATCGCGTGGGCAAAATGCTAGAGCGTACAAGCCTCGGCAAACGCTTTTCTGTCTGACAGACAGGCTCGATCTACGGCCGCTCTCTCGGCTCCTGTCTGCGCGTGCTCATTTCCCGGACAGAGTCTTGTTATAAGTTATTACCTCAAAAATAAATTAGCCGCCTAGAAGGTTGAAATGACGTCAAGCTATTTGAACGATTGTGTCTTTTGACTGCACAACCACAATCCTTCAGTTTATTGTGTTCTTGTGAAAATTACCGATCGAACTGAGCGTCATCTTCATATTATCAAACTGAGAGACAAAGCTCGTACCTTGAGATAAGGGTGGGGCCCGGTCATCCAGACCTTCACAAAAAAGGGGGGAGCGGTCTCCAAACAATTTTTTTCGGTCCTCAGTTTGGTCTAAAAATAGGTGGGGGGGTACCCCCGGGCCCCTCCCCTGGATCCGCCACTGCATAGTCACTTTCCTGTTCCATTCTCGCCTTCAACGTTAGCCTTTGCTTACAAATAGAAGGAGCATCGGTTGCATTATTTATTTCTATTAGAAACCTAACCAACATCCAACTACAGAAAATAGTCCAGTTTCGAGTTCGCTATGACCGCTGAATTAAAGAAGTCAAGACGCATTTTTTACAGGCTTAGCCTCCATCTGAAGTAATATATTCACAAATTCCAACGAGAAAAGGCCTGTTTATTACTCTGAGATAACACATATAAGTTTAAAATTTGTGAATGAACGGCCTTAAAGACTTATAAAATGAAATGCAGCTCCGATTGGGACATATTTACACGGCAATTACAAACATAAGTCCGGTAGTTTTTAATTCGAAACTTGTCTGTTAAGTTATCAAAGGTCCTATCGTACATCTATAATATATATGGCGTGTTTTGAATACCTTTTGAAGAATTCTAGAATACTTTTCAGGTCAAAACAGTGTAAATAATATCGAGTAAGTCGAGCCAAAGATACTGTGAATCATGTCTCGTGCATGCTCTATTTATTACAGTGTCAAATGATATTTGGAGTTATAGTAATAAAAGGTTAAAAGAAAATGAGACCTTCATGATTTGAGTTGTTGCGCTTCAATTTACTCACCGTAAATGACTCAAAGAGGTAACCAAATCGAAAGGAAGAACACAGCAACGAAAGTCCTCTCGTCATTGTTAGATGTAGGCAAGTTTTATGTACCAGTCAATTCCAAAACCGCCCATTTCCCCCCCGGCATTTGACTGAAGTTTGGCTCCGTACAGTGGGGAATTTGACCCAAAATGAGGCCCGCCCAGTCGGGCATTTGACTTTCGTGTCAAAACGCTGGATTTCGTAATTCTTTCCGCATTCAGCATGTGCACGTTGTTCACGCGTAACTGCTCCTATATCCACTGTTTTGTTGGAGCATTTAAGATCCTTTAGAAAAGCCCATTAAATGTGGGCTTTCTCAAACGAGCAATGTTATTGAAAAAAAGAAAACTCTGTAAGACAGCTTTCCAAGACTTTAGATATTTCGGTTGTGTTTATTAGGATATTTACATTTGAATAAACGATTTGACGCATGGGAAGATTTTTGAATATATAGTTGCTGGTGGGTGAAGGATTTGACGCTTTTTGAAGCGCTACCCGGTGGGGCATTTGACGATCTAAACTGCCAAAATACCGCCCGGGGAATTTGACCAGAATTTATCAAAAAAAAAAAATTCTCGCGGCTCGCTGCGTTCGCCCAAATAGGACAGCCTGCTCGCAGGCTAGTTTTGAAATTGACTGTTACATTATACCCCATTCACAACTACTACACATGTTTAATTAAACCAGGTTTAAAAAAATAAAAATATACGCGAAAATTGGGAGACAAGTTTTCACACAGGATTCAAATGAAACTCAATGTTTTGTAAATTGCACTAAACCTGCAGTCAACTTAAGTCAGTAAGCTGCTTTTATGAAGCAAACAATTTTAAACACCCCTTGGCGCGAATGAGGCTTTACTCCTGTGCATAAAGAAACTCAACGTTACGTCAGTATGGGCTCCTTGCATGAGCCGTAATGGATATGGTAAACTTCTTACTTCCATACTTCTGTTTAAGATAAATCGTACTCTGAATCGTATGCGTTCAGCAACTGTGTACTTGTCGCTTCGTAAATAACGATCAGACACCTAAAGCTTTCTTTTGAATATTTAATTCATATTCACGGCTCCGAATTTGGTAGGTGAACATTCTCTCACGACCTAACATTAACATTTTCTTTCAGAGGGAGAGGATAAAGTATATATATACATCATGAACTTTAGCTGTAAGCTTAAATCAACTGAGCGTACGACAGTCACCAGCGTCAATGCCTAAATTCTAAACTCATTGTATCTCTTGGCAATAATTAATTCCATCATTCCTAAGCAGACTTGTCAACTATTCTGTCAGGGACCTGCCTTCAGTAAGATCTAAACTGGTTTTGCATTTTTTCTGACGATATATCTTGCGCTGCTTTTAGAGACAAAAGGTCTTGCCCTAAAGGAAAATCTTTAGACTTAACTGATATATTTCCACCAAACTTCTAGCCTGGGCTAGCAAGCAAAATCCACAATTAAGTCTGGACAAAAAAGGTAAAAATAACTCAGTCAGAAAAGTCTTCTTTTTAAAAATCCATTAGGGACATAATCCTGGTGATTCCAAGGAAAATTGCTTGATTGTATAAAAATAAATTCTAATTCTTAGTTCAGTCAGCAGACTTCAACCAAAGGACTTCTTGGTTTGGTTGCTGTTCTCTGTAATCCAGTACTTGAACGACGTTTCCCGTTTGTTGGCTTCAATAAGTGAGGTCCAAACTGAAAAAAAAGAAAAAAACACAATAAAATAGAAATATACAGTCGACTCTCTCTTAACGGACACCTCTATGAGACGGACCCCTCCCTGAAACGGACACCTAGAGTTGGTCCCTGCCTTTCTTTACTCCCTTTATTTGACTCTCTATAAGACGGACACTTACTGCCGGTCCCAAAGGTGTCCGTCTTAGAGGGAGTTGACTGTAAGTGCTGATCCGTGTTAGAATTCGTTGCTGGAGAACGAATTATCGAGTGTTTCTCTTGCTTCTTTACAGTGGGTGCCAGAGGGTTTTTTCTCTTTGGCGGCGCACGGATGGTAAGGGGGAAGACCTCTGGCATTCAGGGCCCGTAGAGCTTTCTCCCTTTTCTGCAACCACAACATTGGTAGTCTTTGAACTTCCCTAAGCGTTGCTCCTTAACTTGGTGGGGCAGGTTTGAGTGCCTTGGTGATCCTGGAAGCTATACCAGGTGGCCCTATATCCTTGGTGGATTCAACCATACTGGGCAGGTTTTGGGAGAAAAGCCAGACGGATCATTCAATGCCTGGCCCTCCAGATTGGGGGTTCGGCGATGGGGTTAGTCCCTTCCCTGGAAAAATGCGTCATCAATCAGACCAGACACTTTTCAAGGAATTGAAGTACGTGTGGAGGCCTATGCGGAGAAGAACACAAAGAGGCGAAGTGAGGTAGTCTTCGAGCGCAGCTTTAGTCCCACCTTTTGACGGGTGCAACACGAATAAGGGAAAACAGCCCCTCACAGAGGATATGGAGAGATTTACTCGCGCCGGCCTCCCAAACACATGGTAGCCTGTGAGTAAGGATCTCCTATTACACTATATCTGTACAAGTAGCCCATCATTTCTATTACGCCGTCGATCAAAACACGCGCGCTCGGGCCAAAGCCTTCGCCTCTGGTCTCTGCCGGTTTCCGGCCCATTTCGCGCTCTAATTCAGTAACTCAGTTCGATGAAAAAACCAAAAAAGCCTACTGGCAGCCAACTATACTTTCTAGAACTACTTAATCTAAAGCTAATAATCTAAATTTGAGCCTTGACTCTTTTATTTTAGGGTCCACTCCTAAACAAGTACAACAAACACAGAATACTTACCGGTGCTGGCTTGACAGGGCTAGATGGTGGGGTACCAAATGGTGACCCGCCCGGACTGCTGTTTTCCTTATTGATATCTGATAAATAAAATATGATTCAATATTTGAACTTGAAATTGCTTTACGCTTTGGTCCCCTTCAAAGCATCCTGCCCAGATTTTTAAATTCCCTTGAATTTCCAGAAAGGATCCACAAAGGAAATCAGAACAAATATCGTTATCGTTTTAAGCCTCCTCCCACTTGTAAGCCACCAGTTGTTGGCCGACCTACCTGGAAACAAAAAATACATCCGATTATGAGCTCCTCCCCGCGGATTTCACGCATTGAATGTTAATCTGATTTTGTGGCAGGCGGACAGGATAGCGAAATTTTCAGCCTTTTCGATGAAACATTTAGATAGGTACTTTTCCCTTTGAACACTTTAAGTGATATTTTCCGCCCCTCTCCCGGCACACTAGTGCTATTCCCACTGGCTCGTGCCCACCGCTGCTCGGAAAAAAGTGGCCCAAAGTTCCCGCTGTCCCGCAACATCTTGGAAGGTGTAGTTTACCTGGCGAGCTCGTGTCATGACGTCTTCGATGCGCAAACTTTTTCTTTAGAGCCTGTGCTATGATTGAGGCAGGATCAGTAGCATCTGCAGTGATAGGAGGTTTCCTTACGGGTGTTCCACCTGGTGATCTGATATTAATACTATAGTAAGCTTACTAGCTACAGCTTTTTACTGCAGTCCTTGAATACTGTGTAGGTTTCTACAGTTTTCTTTTGAATGTTCTTTAACTGCTTCGACTTGATTTATAGATTTTTGCCTACCCAACTGCGTAATCAACGAAGGATGTGTTGGAAAACACTAAGAATTGTGTTTGTGATTTTCTTCATTTCAAATTAGACTTCAATTTGAGAACTGTATTGGCTTCTATTTGATTAATGATCAAGTTGGACCTTCCCTCGTTTCTAAAACAACTTTGCTTGTTCCTTGTTACCCTCAAAATAAAAAGGCGTTGTTGTTACAACAGTTTGTGGGTAAATATAATTTGTTAGCAGAGAAGATTAAAGTTAAGTTGACACCTGACCTTGACTAAAGATTTTAAAAGCAGATCCTAAGTTTACAAAACGTTTCAAGACTTCTCCCTCCGATAGAACTTTCTTGCACATACCTCTCAACAGACCGAAGTTTCACCTTTCCCAGTCCCTTGAGGACATCTGCCATATTTGGTAAACTGGGTCCAGTGGACTGTTCTGGTCCTATTAAAGATCCTGGTGCAAGTGACAATCGTCTTGCTCTGTTCTGTTGTTGGTAAATAAGTAAATAAATAAATAAGTAATTTTTTTGGCGCTTTTTCCGCATGTAAACTGTCGGCACAAGTATTTTTACGCGAGGGTCAGTCGCTTCGTTCGCTTAGAACCCCCACTTAGAGGTACTGAAGAGAGGACGAAAAAGAAAACGATGTGGGAGGGAGCCGGGTGAGAGAGCAGTCACTGCTTTCTCCCCTCACCCCACCCTCCATCTTTTTCTGTTTCGACCTCGGTGAAGCTTTCTAAGTTTAACTTTTGCGCGGCTATAAAAAACCCAAAAAATTAAACGCCAGCTACGCAGGCTAATAGCAAGTCTAAGGAAACTGTAAGCTAGAGTGTAGTGAGGTCTGTTTCGTAATACAGGGTAGGGTATGTACTCCGCTTCTTTTAATTACCCACGCAGCTAACAAGGGTCGTATAGATTCAAATTAATTTGGTATGTACTTAACTACAATTTTATCTAAAATTGTAACTATAATTTCTACTGAAACCGTTGTTACAGACGTTGTTACAGACTAAGAGATCTCTGAATTCACAGGCTTTTTTTAAAATCGCAGTTTGCTCATTTTGTGCACAAACCTCTTTAATGATCTGTGAGACTGGCTTCAGCGGTGTCGACATAGGCGTTGGTGGAGGGGGTGGCGGTGGGGGAGGGGGAGGGGGTGCTCCTGCCCCCATTGGAGTTGACGGAGTAGACATTTGATTTGTGGGAACAGCAACAACCATCATTGCAATTTGAGCTCGAAGTTTCTGTAACTCATCCTCCAAAGCCGAAATCTTTTGCATGGCCTCCTCTGGTATATTTTCCTTTTTCACGTCACCTGATTGGTTGGGTAGTGGCAGTTGTTGCAATTCCTTTTCTGGGCTCGTGATTTCGTAATATTCCTCCTCGTCTATGACAATTTCAGACGATAAGTCGTCATCATCCGTTATCCAGCCAACATCTGCTAAAGATGCCATAAACATCTGAGAAAGTGGCTTTCCATCATATTCCCGTTCATTCCGTGGTATATTTAACTAAAAAACAAAAAGAAATCATCCATAAAAATGTATACCTGTAATCATTATGTTTTGCGGGAGAAGAAAAGATCGCGGGGAGAAAAATAACTTTGCAAACATCGCAGGGTGCCCTGTTATTATTATCGTGAGCCACCACCCAAGTTACTGTTTGGGCTGATTTTTGAGCCGAACTGACTCTATAGGCTGACCACACTTGGTGTCCGAGAACTAGTGCCCAGGCAATGTTGTGTTCACCCGTTACTGTGTAGTCTCTTTCGCTCTGTCAGACGCCATTTTGAAAGAAACGTGGGCTTTGCAGGGATTACAAAGCGGTGGATTGCGGTTGCCCCGTAACTAACAAAAACAGTGTGCACACAGGGAACCTGTACCCACTTTAGTGCCCGAGTACAAGGTAGGTTCTGTTTACATTAGTGTCCGTGCTCGGGCACCAAATTTGAACTCTTTCCGCTTATAGATGGTTTTCACAGTGATGTCATCAAACTGTTAAGTCAAAACAGCGAGGTTTTACGAATTCTTATTTAGACTAGGTTGAAGATAAACAAAAAATAAATCTTTGTTCAAGTTTCCATTCCCGTAGCATGTTTCATTTCGAAAATACAGCAATACGAACTTCCGAGTTTTCACAGTGCGTGACACCAAAACAGGAATGCTGTCTCGTTGAAAAAAGTCTCTCCTCTTGATTTTCAGCAGTATAACCATTTCAAGTATTACAAGATATGTTTATGCGCACGTAGGCTGGTTCTCGAGTGAAAAGAAAGAGCTTTTATAGAAAAAGTGAACTCCAGATGTTTTGTTGATTTCCGGCGGCCATATTGGTGGACCAAAACGGTACACCAATATGGCGTCTCCATACAAAGCTCTACAAGGGTGCGTGAAACGTTTCGGCAAATAACTCAGAAACTGTGGGCCACAAAGACCTGAGACTTGGACAAATTGTTTATATATTAGTCTTTTGTAACATGCCATTTTCTCGGCTTCTTCCACTGGACGGTTTCCAATTTATTTTTTTGTTGCGTGACAGTGAAAACGATCTATAGTCTATTACTGACCAGGTTTTTGAAGAGATGACTTTCAGCACGGAGCGGAAAGAGAGGCTATAAAAATTTGCTGCTTGCCAGGATCGAACGCTTCTGATCAGAGGCATCGCCTTGAAACCTTCTCTAGCGTCTACACATTTTGTGAGAAAAGAAGATTCCTTCGAGGGAAAGGATACCTTAGGATATTGATAGAAACTAAGCTTATCACCAGTTTTCAGGAAACATGTGTTAGTTTAAAACGCAAAAATTTATTTCATTAGTCATCGCTTTCGTGATTTTGGTGGCTCTTAAAAGAGCCGTTTTGTTTGAAATTTTTAACTTCTTTTACTGTTTGCTTTTCTTCTCTGATTTCTTTGGCAGGAGAACAGCTTGGATGTTGGGAAGAACGCCACCCTGAGCGATGGTGACACCGGCGAGCAACTTGTTCAGCTCTTCATCGTTTCTCACAGCAAGTTGAAGATGACGTGGGATAATCCTGGTCTTCTTGTTGTCCCGAGCAGCGTTACCAGCGAGCTCAAGGATTTCAGCGGACAAGTACTCAAGAACTGCGGCTAGATAAACCGGAGCTCCTGAACCGATGCGCGGAGCGTAATTCCCCTTGCGAAGAAGACGATGAACTCGGCCAACTGGAAACTGAAGACCAGCTCGAGAAGAGCGACTTTTTGCTTTGCTACGGCTTTTACCGGATTTACCTCGGCCCGTCATTATTGCAAAACTTAAGAAAACTTCGAATGAAACCCACAAATCACCAAAATCGTAAAACTTACAGGTACAATAGTGCGGTTCTGAAGCTGTTTTATTCACCTCGATGGATCGAAAAGAACCAATGGGAGAGCTGCCATCGCTTTCACAATCTTGTCAATCACAGAATATTCTAGCCAATCAACTTGAGAGAAAATCACTTACGCTTCCTCAGGCGGGAAGCTAAAACTGTGCCAGCAAATCAGAGAGCGTCATTTTCGATCCTGATATTTTTCGATCCATACATTATTTTTCTATAAATTTTTGCACATCGAACATTCAGCTTCACAAATCGTGTAGATTTTGCAAGTTTGATCGCCTTCAAAAAGTTTTAGCTAAGAGAAAAGAGAATGCCCCCAAAAGCCGGTGCGAAGAAAGCTAGTAAAGCTGGAAAGAGAGCTTCGGGTGACAAGAAGAAAAGGTCCAAAAGACGAAAGGAGAGCTACTCAATTTACATCTACAAAGTTCTCCGACAGGTTCATCCTGATACCGGCATCTCAAGCAAGGCCATGGGCATCATGAACTCATTTGTAAATGATGTTTTCGAACGAGTTGCCGGGGAAGCCTCTCGTCTAGCTCACTACAATAAGAGAAATACCATCAGTTCTCGTGAAATCCAGACGGCTGTACGACTTCTTTTGCCCGGTGAACTGTCCAAACATGCTGTGAGCGAGGGAACGAAGGCCGTGACCAAATACACCAGTAGCAAGTAGAGTGAGGAGAAGAAGCAAGACAAAACAACGGCTCTTTTAAGAGCCACCTAATTTTAATAAAGGCTATGACCAATTCACTTGCCTGTTTATAATCGTTCCGCAGTAATCTTGCCTAGCAAAGAACTTTTTTATTTTTGCTTTTACGTTCTAGTCCTCCATAGAAAAATCTACAGCTCTCCTAGGCACTTTGGCAAAGGGGCGAAAAATGAGCGACCTTGCACTCCTAGGATGGATGTACACAGGCTAACGACGGGCGGTGAAAGTCGACAAGCAAACAACTCTCTAGATTCCCGCGGTCACCACAGCTTTTCAATTCCGACGGGGGAAGAATTTTTCGGGAAAGGGGTGGGGGAGGGAGATCTCGGGGAGTGCAAAAGTTTTCATCGTATGTCAGGGATTATGCAATAAAATGAGAATTAAAAAGAAAAAGCGAATTAGCTAAAAAGAAAATGTAAATTTATAAACCATTCCCGGTTAATAGGGCTACGCAAAGAAAACAAAAGATCTTTGTTATACAATAGGCTAACATTTTATACTGTCCTAGTAGAGACTAGTTTACATTGTAAAATATATGGTGTATAAAAACTAAGGTATTAAGCCTAAGCATCATTAATCGAGGGATTTTCTTCTCAGTTATACATAACACTGACTTTCTTATTGCGTAAGATTTACCTCAAAATACGGTCTTTCACAAGGCTTCAGCGGCAGACGACTGCCAATTTCGCGAATTAGGCTTCGTTTGGTGAACAAGGAGAACCGATAATTCGACAGAAATCGAGCGATTTGTCGGACGATGCTTCTTCTGCGTTCTCTCATTGTTTCACCTCTGAGAAGTAAATCCTAAAATAAAAAATAAAACGGTAAAAATACTAGCTGGTAACTCAAACGTGCAATGGAATTTCAAGATAACAGTTATAAACTTACTCCGATTAATGCGTCTCTTTCCCAACCAAAATACTCCATGATTAACCTCACGACTTCCAAAGCAGTGTCCATTGCCTTGTTTATATCTCAGTCGCGAAAAATCGAAATAAAAAAGCTTCGAAAGAAGAGAACGACTTCAAACGCAAGTCATACAGACAAATGAGATTTTTAAAAATTTTGTTGTCAATTACGTGCATCTGCGATTGACCAATCGAAATACCGAATTTTTTAGACTCAGCCAATCAGATTGAAGAGCGGTAGGTTTGAATGTACGCATGTGGAAAATCGAACATCTGCTGCTTTTCAATTTTGCATTGAACTGAACGTTTTTATTTTCCTCAAGTTTTTCTTATAAAATTGCATTTGAACAGCGTAATGTCTGCTTTAGGGGTAGTAGAACACCTCCGGAATTTAGCTGCGGATCCACAAAACAGGGCAACTATTGTCAAAGTACGAAAATCAATTTTAAAACACACGAATGTTCAATGCTCTATGATCCGCCATGTTTTATAATGTCAGCGTATCCCTTTTTTCATTATTTTCAGGATCAAGGATGCTTGGCTGGACTCGTTTTATTTCTCGATAACGAAGATGTGAACGTTGTAGTAACTGCACTAGAGGTATGCATTTCATTTATCTCTCTCATGTCAGCGAAGAAGAACTTCATAAAATAAGATTTCATGATATTTTCAGGCTTTAAAGTTCCTGTCAGAATTTCACCCAAATCGTTCCAAAATGAGGGATGAAATAGGAATGGTTATCAGCTTAAAAAGCATCGTGAATAAAGAAGGCTACAATGCTAAAGCAAGACAATTAGCTAAGGAAGTTTATAAGAATATTCACGCCCATGTGCCGACAGCCCCAAGTCAAAGGACAAGGTGAGTGAAGCTGATATTTTTTCGATTGCTTGATTTAAGCACAGCAGTCAACATGCATCAGATAATCTCATCTCTGTAGAGGTAGACATTGTTGCTGTGAATGCTTGCTCATTCACCCAGATGTCACTGAATAGTGTTATCATTATTATTATAGATATCATTTATTATAATAATAATCATTATTATTATTATTATTATTATTACTATTATTATTATTATTATTATTGTTATTATTATCATTACTATTATTATTTTACTCAGCTTATTAACATTAACCTCCACTTTTTCCAGTGGTACAACACAAGCTTTCTTTCTTGGCAACTTGAACAAGAGGGCTAAAGTAATAGTTCTTCAAATCAAGGGCCTAGCAAATCAGGTTAGTAGAATTCAACAACGAAAGTCAACGTACAGCTGCAAGAAAATTTCAGCTTCACAAAAAATTCAGATATGAAGATCGTAAACAAAGTTTCCCGCACTCTGCATTTGACAGGTCACTAGAAAACTATGCGAGGAAGAGCTGCTGAAAGTCAAGGGAGTCATCAGTTTCACATTTGTCATGAACAAGTCAAGATGTGTGGTCAGGTGTAAGCTAGAGTTGTCACCAGAGGCACTTTGTGATGCAATCAACAAAACAAAAGTCCTGTCTGCCCAGCAAGTGGTAAAAAATGAACATGGAGAAGAGGTACAAATTGCATCCATTTTTATTGATGGCAAAAATAAAGCTTGGCCCTGACCTACAAAGCCCAAGTCTGACTAACACACCTCTTTGCAATGAATGTACAGATGGCAGGGCTGTGCTCTAGCAGAGCCCGGTGGGCCCTGGCACCTAATGTTTGCCCTCAAGCAACTAGAAAATCTCAGATTTTTCATACAAATCATATGTTGAGCACCCTAGATTTTACAGTTTCAGAGAACTGGACCCCCTTCAATTTTCCTTAGAGCACAGCCTTGGTCTATCAGTGTGGGTTCTCATTAAATAACCAACTACTTTTAATTTGAACTGCCACCTACTTTTTGCCACACCCTAGGTTTTGCATCCTAGCTCTTTACTTCAAAACTTAATGAGAACCCTGTCTAGCTATTTAGTTTGAATCTTTCCAAGCACCACTAAGATTAAGATAGCACCTAATATCTATAAATGCTTTTGTTATAATATGGCTAGCTCTTGGAACAGTTAAGGCTCTGCTCCGTAATGAAAAGGCCATGTAATAAATAACTTTTTAACCTTGTTAATTCAGTCATTACAGGGAAATCTCAGCCATCAAGGCCGAGGTTTGAGATTTCCCTGTAATGACCTCATGCTCAGTTAATAAAGAGTAGGATGTAATATGTACCCCTTGTTGTTCTCATTACATTAGGTAATGCTGTCATTTGGATCTGCTCCTGTCAGTAACTGTGCCAGAGGTAACAGCAGCAAATTACCAGATTATCTGCCTGAAGAAGATGATGATGTTCCAGTTATATCTGATAAGGTGAGGCAGTTCTTTTCAAATGCACCAATCACTACTGAACAGAAACTGTAGCAACAAGGTCCCACCCAGTCAATCAGCCTCATTGTCCCATTCATTAAGACCAACAGTAAGTATTGAAAACATCACCATCGGTAACAAAATGGCTCCTTTCAAGAATATTATTAGTTCATATGTACCATGCAGTGAACATTATTTTGCGGCTCAGCAACCAAACTCAGGGCCAGTTGTTTATATGAGATGATCCAGCTCTGTGGCCAGTCATTTGGGCTGGCTCAGCTTACTTCTTCATAGAATTTTTGTTATGTTGAGTAGATGCCCAGCCGGCCGGCTTACCAAGGAATTGGTTACTTTATTACTTGAACTGAAATCTCGGCAAGAGGGCAGCCCAGCGCACCTTCCCACATAAATAGAATGAAGGAAACATGGCATGCTCAGTCAACCTAATAACACCACATATAAACAGACACTCAAAAAGGTTTTTATGAACTAAGAAATAACACACCCTATTTGTCTCCTTTTCAGACATGGCATTGAAAAAACTATGTAGAGATCATCAACTCTGTAATGAACAGGCAAAGGGAGGGTTCTTCATTTATAAAGTTAACACACTTATTATTGTGGGAATTTATTTGCTGCATTGCACAGTGTTAGCGGCTTTTGCACCGCCTAATTCCTGTCACTTCCAAAATTCTTTGCAGGCATTAACCAAGGTTGGAGGAGAAGATAAAGAAAATGGCTGGTTTTCCAGTGTAACTAGCTTCTTTAGCAAGACACTGTACTGGTGAAAATGAGAGGACTGTGAAGCACCATTTGTACAGATTCGTTTAAGATTTCAGCGGGAGTGTTGATCAGTAATATGGTGCACTCATTTACGACTTGCTGAAAAATTTTATTGATGTAATTTTAATACCTAATGTTAGAAACCCCCCTCCCAGAAACAACCTTTGTTATGTAAATATTAACTAGTTAAGTAGTTACTTTCTACAGGTTGTAATAAATATTCTTTTTCACAAATTGGAGAAAAATATTAATTAAATTTTAGAATGGCACTATTATTGTAATCTGTTTCATTTGCTATTATAAACCAAAAGCCTCTATATGTCTCTGTTTTTGACTCTCTTTTTAACTTTACATAAGGGATGAAGTTCCCTGCCAGCAGATGCCTGGTATTTGGCAGGCTGGTATTTCCGCCCCTCCGAATACCAGGGAAAAGAGGCCTCTGCTAGCAGGGAAGGGATGTAGGGAAAAAATCTGTTTTCTGTCTTTCACAGAATTAAGGTTTACATACTGAGGTCAATATCAAAATAAAATAAATTTTATCTCATTTCAATCTGTATTAGCCTGGTCCTGTTATAGAGAATTTGTGGGGTGCTTTTGATTGATTTCTTTTTCGCTTGTGACCAAACTGAAAAACTTGCTGTTCCCAATGCCCTTGTTGATAGACGATATAAACCTGTTGGATGTTGAATACCAATTTACACCAATGCATTAATGCTGGAATCTGGAAAGTGATTTCATAATCAGTGCTTTTCCCTTCTCCAGTCAGCAAACTTAAATGTAAAGCGGACCTGTACTTTGCACCTTTTGTCAAACATTGTAAATATGTGAACAGTGTCAAATAAACTGCAACTATTTGGAAATGATGATTGAAAAGTGGTCCATCTCTTAAAGTAGTACAGGTCAAGTTGCAAAAAATCCACTGCTTGCAGGCTGTTCCAGAAATGACAACTGGCCCTTTCAAACGTTGGATAGCGTTATCCACCAAAAAAAAAAACTATCCAGTGGATAAGTTTAGGAAAATCAATTGCGCTATCCACTAGATGGAGATTTCTTTTGAACAACTGGGGCCTGAAGGCTATAAAAATCGCAAAACTTTTTAAAAGATGGAATAACCAATCTAACCCCTGAGTCCTAACAGTGACCAGCATCAATTTTCATGAAACATTATTAATAACATAATTATAAAGAAAAAAGATTTAGACAATTCATCACTGATCACTAATTAAAAGGGAAAATGCTTCGATCTTTCATCAAATTCTGAGTGGATTATTAATTTTCTTTACTACCTCTAGTCAGACCTCTAAAACATTCACCTATAACCCCGAATTTCCCGGTTTTGGATGACGTATGATGTTGGAATAAAGGTTCCAGAGAGAAAAAGATGACTCTCGGAAATGTAGCATTAGACAGAGGATTGATTCCCATAGAATTCCCTACATTATCACTCAAGACTTCCTGGTTCTCAGATTGTCCAATGTCACTCAATTTCACACACCACCTGAGAATCAGGGCTGGGTTAGACTATGGGTAATCCCCATTTTTCCACAGGGATAGTAGAGTGAGCAAAATACAAGTGGGCATGAAAATCACCCCACGTAAGAAAGATGAGATGCGGCACATGTGCTCGCATTTTGCTACTACTATCCCTGAGGAAAAATGGGGACTACTCATAGTCTAGGGCTGGGTTGTTCACAGCAGGATTAAGATAACCCAGAATTGGCGCAAAAATTGCATTCAAATATGAGTGCTTATGAAGCAAATTCCTGCACATTCTCTTTGCTTACATGCTTGGACACGCTAAAATGACTAGCTAAAATTGACAAAGAAAAATGCTTTTGAACAAAAGAATCAGGAACCCAGATAAAAATTTAACCCCTATTGGCCTTCAAACAAATGGGCCCCGGCTAACTATAAACAAACTGTTTCCACGGCTATCATACAATCTATAAGGGAAATAAGGTTTCCTTAGAACTTTTTTAGTCCTAAAATCACAGTGCATGTTCACCACACTGTTCTTTATAAAAGCAAGACATAAATCTTCCATCAGCGTTCCTTTATTTAACGGAGAAATCAGATTTTAGTCACTAGGTCCCAAAGCCATGCAAAAAATACATTTTGTAATGTTTTGTAAAAGAAGGACCATCCTATGAAAACCCAAGTTTCTTATACCATCCTTGAACGTTTTTAAACTACAAATTTATTTTCTTATTGCAGCAGTATTTAAATAAATGAAAGTAATTATTCTATGTCAATATTTATAAGTGGAAAGGGGAGGACCCCAACATAAGAAGAAATTTTGTCTTTCAACACTCCCTCATGGCAAATTAATTTTCTCAGATTTCGCCCCACCTTTAGAGACACTGGACAGGAGAACATTAAATGTTTTTTTTTTTAACTACAAAATCTCAATATGGATATGAATCTGAAAATTCCACACCTCAAGAGAGTGATTCAAATCAGTAAATCAAAACATAATTTAGATTTAAACGATGATTTTCATGACTAGACAAGCAGCTTTCTGGTGAAATCATGAGGCCAGGTACATTCTATTTTAACCAAATTATTGCAGCCAAATGAATTTCATAATACAGCAATAGAATAATTATGTTGAGTAAGCTTATCACACTTTAACATCTTTGTATAATCATATGCAACCACTAGCGTTCATCAGATTCCTGTCTTGTTTTATACAGCGTTTCACAAACAGCTTACAAAAGCAATACAGTGAAATAATGTATTATGATAAACAGAAGAAAGTAGAGGCTTTGTTGTTTTGGGGAATTCTTGAAGTCACTACATACAGGTACAGATCATGGAGAAACTAGCACCTAACTTTGGTCTGATTTCTTGTCCAGCAAAAGCACAAGTACATATTCTTGCCACAAAGATTAACTACTTAATTTATGATATTATAGATTTATAACCAATGTACTAGATTAGCGACCACTATCAAAATTGGCCATTGAATGACCTCAATTTCCAGAGAAAAAGACAGAGTCAGAGAGGGACAGGTAGAACCCTGGGAATGAGGTTGGCCTGTTGCGGTGCATACTGTGATGCTGTTGGCAATAAATATGAAGAAATTATAATAATTAATAATTATTTGATTGGATCCATGACCAGTCATTCATGTTCAATCANAAACTAGCACCTAACTTTGGTCTGATTTCTTGTCCAGCAAAAGCACAAGTACATATTCTTGCCACAAAGATTAACTACTTAATTTATGATATTATAGATTTATAACCAATGTACTAGATTAGCGACCACTATCAAAATTGGCCATTGAATGACCTCAATTTCCAGAGAAAAAGACAGAGTCAGAGAGGGACAGGTAGAACCCTGGGAATGAGGTTGGCCTGTTGCGGTGCATACTGTGATGCTGTTGGCAATAAATATGAAGAAATTATAATAATTAATAATTATTTGATTGGATCCATGACCAGTCATTCATGTTCAATCAGCCTTCTTTTCCCCTTTTCCTCCAACTGTTGCCATTTTTGAGTTTGCACCATTACTCTTCCAGTCCTCGTTACTCCACCCACTAGATTCACCCCAGTCATCATTGTCCCAGCTTATTAAATCTCCCCATCCATCACTACTTTGCCTTGTAACTGCCTCAGGCTTTGTGTCACCACTACTTGTTGTCTTGGATATTTGCTTTGAGCTGCGTGATACATTATGCTTGGTTGTGGGTTGAGACTTATGTTTTGGGCTTTCAGAGTCACTGCCCCATGCCCAAGACTCCATTTCACCATTGTCCTCCTGATCATCATCTTTTGTTTTGGCTGTAATATTGATACCTTCATCATCTTCTTCTCCATTTAATTCCGCATAGTTATCCCAGTCCCAGTTGTCTGTATTATTTGAAGCAGCATTGTTAAATGCTGAAGTCCCACTTACAGATCCATATCCACCCCCTGAGCTAGCGCTACTTGTCAGAGACTTTGATCCATGATCCCCTCCTTGATTGACAAGGGTTTGAATATTTGCCCATCCTTTCATACTAGCACTTTGAAGATTTGTCCAGCCTTTGGTACTTGCATCTTTGACCTATCACAAAAGTGTTTTTAGAATTCTTTCTATCTAGAACAATTCAGGATAGCTGGAACAGGTTGACAGTCATAACAGTGATAAAAATTAAGGATGTTCCCTGCTAAACCATAAATGTCAACTTTTGACAACATATACCTTGCTTGACAAGTTGGACATTGATGTCGTCATGTCATCAAGAAGTTTGCCCTCCTGGACCTTAACATAAAAAATACAGTTAGTCATGATACCAGCTGTTTAAAATCCCTGTGAAACCGAAAGAGGAAAAAACTTTTTTTCTCACAGGGCTATTCAATGAGCTGGGCCGAACAAGCAAAACAACTCCAATTTTTTTAGACCATTATGATGACTCCTATCACTTTAAAATTAAATTGGAGTACATGCAAGTATCATCAAAATCAGAAAAACAAAAACATACCCTATTTGAGACCTTCTTTACCCCTTCATTCATGGTCGTTCCCAGTTCAACTGCCTGATAAATTAAATAAGGTTTTATAATCAACATTGAATTTACTACAGTATTGAACAAATCTGTTATCTTGAGAAACAGTTTGTGCTATATTGTACATACCTTATTTGCAGTTGGTCTGATGACTGATTCATTGACTGTTGATCCAAGCTTGACAGCCTACAAAGCAATGATTTCAAGTTAACTATCACATAATTGCTAAACAAGAAACAATTAACAGATGGGTACTATACACGCACAGTTATACCAGCTGTTCACTGAAGTACTGCATTGTGGAAACTATTGCAGTAAATAACTATAACTTTTTGTAGAGCTGCTTCAAAGCTTTCTTTTTTTCAGTTTCAATCTTTTTGTAACCTGTGAAAGAGTTAAACCTTACTTGTTGTGAGGCTACTGATGCAAATTGAGCAGCACTTGAGGCAAATGAACTCCAGCCCTATAAACAACAACAGAGTAGTTTGGGAGGATTTGTTAAATATAAATATTATGAGAGTAACAAGTAGAGCTTAGATTAATAAACTGGCAAAAATAAAATGGCTTCTTCTGACCACCGACAATGCGAGTAAAAAATCCTCAAATTTCACTTGAGCACCTTTAATCAATCTGCTTATCCTTCGGTCTGACCTTGCGTTTGTTTTGAAAAATAAAATGGATTGGGAGTCGTTGCCTTATTGTTAATTTTGTTACTGGGCACCTTTATTTAATGCCACTGACTTGTAAAGTAAACGATGGAATTATATGAGTGCATTTTAGCCAAAAATATCACTTACAGAGAAGGAATTTCTTATTTGCTTTCTTTTCGGTCTTTCTTACTGTTATGCATGAGTAAGTGTTACTGATCTCAAGATGTCCATTATTGTGGTCAAAGCATGCTAAAAATGCCTGCTGTCAGGTGCTTGCTTCCAAAATTGCAAATTCTTTTCAAAATAAGCCTTCGGCTTCTATACAGGCTTAGTTGCTTAATTACCATTTTGAACAATTTTAACATGAATTATTTAGAGTAGTGTCTAACATCTTTAATATAATTATATGTAAATTTATTGTGTAATGTAGATGTATTTATGTGGCTAATGGTAAAATAAATGGATGAATGAATGAATCAATGAATGAATGAGTAAGCCTTTAACAAGTTCTCAACAGTATTTACATGTAAGCTTTTTGTACTTACACTGTCAACTGTCAAGTGTAAAGTTTATTACAAGGCCACGTGGACATAAAAAATTTGTCTTCGAGTGTCGGATGGCAATGGAAGCAGCAAAGGTAATAATAGTTTTGGGCTTGATGTCCAGGATAAATTCACCTTCAACTATGTGATTAACTATAATATGATCAACATATCTGAAATATTTGAGACATTAATTTTTATCAAACGATCTGCTTGAGGCTGGAACTTTAATCATGACTTACAGATGATAAAGATGAAAATGCTGCATCCCAACCTGTTGAAAGATTGCAATTAATTAGTACACCATTAGGAAAATGAAATGAACTAACCTCTTTGATGCATCCTTCGCTTGAGATTGCATTTTTATTTACGCCTTTTTGACTTGTGAAGCTAGCAGGAACCTGAGCAAATAATATTACCTATTGAAAGCTTTTATTCTAATTTTCCCCGGTCGTGTGGTCTGTCAGGAACTCTTGTCGCCTCAATGTGACAGTTCTATTTACCTTTGTTGCAAAAACACCGATGACTTTTTCAGGCGTAATGGGGATAAGTGTTCCTTTTTAAAAATCTTCTATTGACAGTCCACTTAAGGCCCAATGTTTTTTTTTCTCACAGAAAAATAAAATGCAGAGCAAATTCGCTCCCCAGGCGAACAAAATTAGATTATATCATTTGCTCAAAACTTGAATTGTCTCATCTGTAAAACTTTTAGTGTCCAGCTTGGAGAAGTTGCCAAAATTCAGCATTTCATACCTGAGTTGTTTGTTGTGGCAACTGGTGCTGAGCCAAAACCTGTGTACCTCCCACCCTGGCTTGGAGGAAGATTGCTATAAAAAGTAAACAAATTTAGGAATATTATTTTATTTTTGCTTGTGTACACAGGATCCATCTGTGAGCAAACAAGTGTCGTTAATAATAATAATAATAATAATAAAATTTCAAAAGTTTACCTCTTTTAGGTCAAGTTTGGATTCTGTTTTTTTTTAGCATTTTATTACATCGAGCCTTAGTTTACTGGGGTTTTTTTTAGAGTATTTTAAGATTTCCAGTGGGGCCCTGCAAAATGTTACAAGCCTGCTAAAATCTTAAATGATTAAGGCTGCTGTGAACTTACTCAGGTCTTGCAGCATTTTCCATCTGTCTTCTGTTAAAGAAATCTTCTTTTTGAGCATTGAACTCTTGCCTACAAAATAAACACCATGATAGTAGGTAATTAATGTTATGGCTGAAACCTTAAATTGAAAAACAAAAATATCTATCCTGTAGCTGAAAATCAACTGGAGTACTTATTATTTCATTAAAATCATGATATAATAAACCTTAATTTATAATCCACAGTAGAAGCTAGACTGTAGTCAACCTTGGAATTTAAATAAATCAGTGCCATAGCACATAGTTGGGTACAGGGTGCATTAATTAAATCATTGCCATAGCACATATTTGGGTATTGTAATATGAGAATTCAGGCTCCTCCAAGATGACTTCTACTGAACAAGCAATGAGGTGAGCACAATATAAGGTTGGTTTTGCTGCAATGACTGACCATGTATGCGTCAATGCAACTCTGTAGTAACAAGAAAACCGATTGGAGGATCAAACTGGAACTGGTTGACAATCATAAATGGAAAAATTATATACGGCTGGTTGAATGGTTAAAAATGTCTTCTTTAGAATAGTAAGATTGATTTTTTCCCTGCCCCTCACAAATTTGTGTGTACATGTAATTTGTTGCAATGCCTATCTTCTCTTTGTTCTGCAAAGTATTTTCCTTGTTTATTATTTTTATGGTGACACTAATGTCAATGAGGAGAACAAACTCTGTCATTCATACTTAGACATCCCTAACATAAGCTCTGGTGATGAGCTGCTAGAGGACATGGAACTCATGGGGCGTGAACCATTTGACATGCGCCCAACAGAAGCACTGCTTGAGCTTCTAGCTAACGGTGGTTCATAGTTCCTCGCTGGAGATGTCTCTTCTGACCATGTTCTCCCTTCAGCTTCTGTTAAAATCTGCAATAAAAAGGTAGGATTTAACCCATGAAGCCCTAATATCCAAATACAAATAATTGTTCAGACTGACCTCCATAAATTGTACATTTCCTTAAAAAGTAAGTTGGAGGAATTTGATAAAAGATCAAAGCTTTCTCTTTAGTCATCATTTTAGTGATTCTGATAACCTTTCCTCTTGATTACCCATTTTGTATTTGATTTTGTATTAATGGTTTGTCCTAAACAGATTTTGACTGCAGGCCATCTGATAGGGTGCGATAAAAAATCAGAAATTGTGCAATATTTTAAGGGTAGATTGTGCGATAAGATAGGACTTTTATGCAATAAATTATGCGATTTTTTCAGGGCTAATTTACATTGTTTTACCAGGTTTCAAAGGAGAAAAACCACTTTAATGTTGTTTAACAGGCAATTTGAATGTAAAGGAATAATAAAACATCTATTTTAAAACAAAATAGTTAAATATGTCCGATTATTTTGACCCGGAAAAGAAAAGGGACGCTTGCTTAATATTACATGACTCCGTTACACCGCTGACCACACTGCTTGTCTCTGAAATCAAATGGCTGCCCAGATACCGCGATCAAAGGTTTCAGATGCCTTGCAAGGCTTCCTTTTGTGGTAAATCACCTTAAATAACATTAAGATTGGGAAAATATTTAATTAATGTTTGAATTCATTTTTTACTTTACTTGAATTTAGTATTCTTTTACGAATTATGCGATTTTCCTCAAATTGTGCGATCGGATGCGATTTATTGTGCGAAATCGCACCATCCTGTAATATCAGATGGCCTTATCTGAGTAGTGAGTTACAGGTAAAAGAATAAAACTGTGGAACTACACTAATACTTTTTGGTTAATTTCACAGAATGCTACATTAATAACACTATAAATCATTAAAATTTCATCTTTGGTTGAGAAATCTTACCTTATCCCTGTATAGTGCTGCAGCTTTGCTGTTATACTTTTCATTTATGCTCATGTCTGCTCGGAAATCTGGCTGGGACTTGAAAAATGCTTTGGCCTTGTTATTTCCACCAACCTTTCAAAGAAGTAATTTAAATTAGAGGCAGATGAGATCTTTCGCTTAAATACATGTACCAGCCATGGGAGAAGATGTGCATAATTTTTTCAGGATTGAATAAGAACAAATCTACTGTGTAAGAAATGAAGTTGAAAATGAACAAGACATTTTTAACATAAGAAGACTCTGAGCTGTTGTTCTGGAACAACAACTTATTGAGTTGAAACAATAGTTATGAGTCACGAAAATCTTAGGATGTCTTATGCAACCCAGCTCTGGCACTTGAATTCAGTCAACTGCATGGTCACTTCAACAGTCACGTCCTGCAGTTTGCTATGATGATTATAGCAAACTAAAGTAACAAACTTTTTTCCACACTCGAATGTTGGTTTCCAGGGAAGGGATGTGATTGACTAAATTGGATATACTAAGAGAGAAAAGGCGGGACAATGGTGTGCATATATAATATTATATCTGCACACCATTGTCCCTGGAAACCAACATTCAAGTGTGGAAAAAAGTTTGTTACTTTAGAACGACATATTTTAATGAAACAAGCAGAGTTAAATGAATTGAGACAAACTTTACTCTTTAAAATACTTGACTTCTATAATTTAAATGCTTTTTTATTGTTATTACCTTCTTGTTTTATTTATTTTTATTTTCAGCATTTTTCAACCAGAAATAATGATTAGTATAAATGTTTGGGCAAGAAGACAACATTTTAGACTCACAGAGAAATGTGCAGTAATTTTAAAATGATGGAAAAATTGAATTTCCACCAATGACAAAATTTACAGTAGAATACAACTACTGATCAATTTCCTTGCAGCATCATTCTCAAGAGGGCCCCAACAAAGCGTTTTTCACTAACAAAGACAGCATCTACAGTATGCATATTCATTGAAACAAAAGAAAGCATTTAGATAAGAAAAGAGTCCAATTCCCACAGGATTTATTGAAACATCAACATGGCCACCATTTCATTGTTTTAGAACACCAATAGGGCAGCTGTGATGTCATGTGAAAACTCTCTATAGCCTTCTTCAATCCCATCATACCAAACAGAGTTTTCCCTCCGTCCCATAATTCTCAGGGCTGTCACTAAGATTTCTCCTTGCTGGGCAACTGAACACCTGTAAGGGCTTGTTTACAAGGAGAGAGGATTACCCTTGTGCTAGGGTTACCCCAGCAATCAGGTTAAAGTTAGCTCTGGTTTACGAGCAAATTTCACAGGTAGGGTTACCCTACCTCCCGGGTCAACTTTCCCAGCTTTGCTGACATGTTTTGTCATGCATGACATTCTTTGTAATGGTCCAAAATTTGAAATAATCTTGAAGTTCTCTGCTATGGAAAACACATTAAATTCATGACAAAAACAGGGAAAATATTATCATCGTTGACAGAAAATAACTTTTTATTTTTCAAACAGGGCCTAAGGTATATTGGGGGTCTATTTTCTCGGAATCATGCTCATGGTATCCAGGAAAAATTCCTGGCCCCTGGCCTTAAGTGACATCCCTGATACCATCACTGAGATTACTTTGTGACAATGATTTTATTTGTTTAACCATAAACAACTTTTTCGTACCTTCATTTTCTCTAGCTCAATGTCCTTCCATTTGTCCATTGTTACAGATCTGACAAAACTGCAATAAGAATATTTCACCCAATTTACTTGACATAACTTGTTTCTATTCTTGTAAGCTAGGTGAGTCTAGAGCTGATAAGAAACCAGTCTTATATTTTATTTGTTGCTAAAAGTGCACAATCCTGAATGGGAATGGACAGTTGTCATTAGAGGCTGCTTCTTGTAATCAGAACAAATCACCAAAAATAGTCGCCTTGGAGGGTGTGTGCTTTCTGCTCACTGGCAATGAATACTCAGTATTTTGTTTGTAAGTTAGTTCTTTTGCGACAACAATAATAATCAGTATCGTGCATGCACACTTTATAGACAACAGGATAATGCACATTAGTATATACTAAAACGGTGGATAGTGTTTTTCGCACGCTCTGATTGGTTACTCAATCAGCAAATATCCTGCACTATTCACTGATTCACCTCCAGCTCCTCCGAGCGAGCGACGCCAAACTCACGTAAGTTGGGAGAAAAATGCCTTCCCGGTTTGCTGCCATAACAAACTAGGAAATTTCACAACTAATCAAGCAAGCTATTCCCGAAATACATGAAGAAGGTGACGAAGTTCGGTTTGGAAGTTTTAACAGGTAAAGCTTTGCTTTTTTGACTTGAATTTATCAATAAAACCGGTGAAAAAGTTTTTTGTTTACAAATGCAAATTAAGCTTAAGTCTTGCGTTACTTTATTTAGTTGACTTGTTCATAAATAAGCTTAAAACTAAATTTAATAATCTTTTTTACAGAATGATTTTAAATGCAAAAAGAATTCACAACTCCTTTTGAATAAACCTCCCCACAAATAAATAAAATAAAATGAAAAGTAAATGAGTTAAAAATCACATTTTTGTGCTCAATTATCTCACTGTTTTAGTATTATACTAAAACAATAATTATTCACCTCAGTGTCGGTGGCTAGTAGTGGATATTTACCTTGCTGCTTCATGGCCTCGGTAAATACCCACTACTAGCCACCTTCACTTTGGTGAATAATTGTTACCGGTATCTAATTTTCTTGAAAATTTCACAATTAAAACTGTCGTTACTTCTTGGTGTTCAATCTTGACATCTCATGAGCTTTTTCAATACAACTTTTTTACACACAAAAACACAAACAAGGTTATGCAATGTCCTTGAAGAAAAAAGCACCACCGGTTATCAAAGGAGGATCTCAAACACAATGTAACTTACTAACTTCTTACAAATTTATTTTGTGAGATCTACGGGTTATTATCTTCCCACACCTTTGCTTTACTCATTATAAATGCCAAGAGCAATACAGTCAGACTTAAAGACTTAACATGCGTACTGGCCATAAGCCAATAAGCATAAAAAGGGGTGGCGAATGGTACCTCAAAAAACGTGGGTCTAGGAAAATTTTGGCCGGATCTCGAAATCTCGGAGCATTTTTGATAAGTCTCGAAGTCTCGCTTTTGCATGGTTTGCTTTTACTTTTTTTTAGTCTCAAAACTTTTTACCAAAGAGTCTCGGCCTCGGATAGTCTAACTAGGATCTCGGCGTCTCGGCGAGTCCCGGATTTTACCATTCGCCACCCCTATAAAAAACATTGAAAACAGTAGAAAGTAAAAGATAATCATGAATAAAAAAAGTAGACTTTCCCTACAGGGTAGGTCAATATCTATAGATTCATTAGGATAAATGGCCAAAAAAAGTTTTCTTTTGTGGGGATAGTGGGAAATTGTAAGGTTCATCTTGTCTGCACGAGTAGCCAATCAGAACACAGAATGCACTTCATCTTGGCCACTTGTTGAAACAGTCATAAAATAAAATTAGATGGTCTGTAGGAATACATGAAAGCTTAACTTCTTGAAATGTTAGCTCATTTAAACTTTAATTCATACCAGGCATTCTTTGGTATTTTGTAGGTATTATTTAGAAGTAAGGGACAAAATGTTTCTGCTCATCAATGATCAAAAAATTATGAGCAATTCAGACCTTTCGACGAAATAACCAAATTCTTGCTCAATCACTACCGTCAGCAAATAAGTATAAATAGAGTGATTGCATGTAAGGTTAAAGCTGTTAATACCGGCTTATCGCAAAAAAATCATTTTACCTTTCATTACAGGGAATGAAAATAGCGCTTATAGATTGGCATAATACTAGAATATTGATCAATCCTACATCTTACCTTATATGAACGCCTAAACCACGATGTTTCCCGGAACACTCGAGACAAATCCATATTCCATAGGTCACACTAACCCACTGCGGGTTATGAGCCCCGCATTCGAAACAACTCTGAAAGAACAAGAAACCAAGGAATTGTCACATTTTCCCAAAAAATATAACAAGGATTTCTTTATTTACATGTTATTTCCTTGTTTTACTTACACTGTTGCCGTCTTTCGGCTTTATTTCTTTCAAAACTCGCCGTGTTCTCGGGCTGGCCATGTCGTGTCGTTTGCTTTCAGTTCATTTTACGACCCCCGCTTCCCTTTACGTGTACTGAGGCACGGGTGGTTGATGGGAATGCTAGCACACTTCCGGAATCTCTGGACTTCCGGTCTCGATTCATACAATCCTAGGCCCAGTTGCTCGAAGCATGGTTAGCGTTAACCAGCGTTTAATACCTTGACAACGTATTGGTTTTGATACTGCTTAACCAATGGTTAAAGCTGACCATGCTTTGAGCAACTTAGCCCTAGACAAAAGTCCTTGGGACAGTACTGCGATATTCATATTTTTCTGTCATTTGTCGGTTCCCTCTTAAAACAATGTATCCCTTTCGAAACTCTCTTGCACTTCTCCCTCCCCCCACCCTATACAAAGTTGAAACTCGGAAAAATTTTTGGATACACCTCGTCAGGAGCCCATCACCCTGACCTCGTCCAACATTGTTTGTGGGGTGAGGGGAGGGGTTGGACCTGTGTGAATTGGAAAACGCCCCAGAAAGTCAAAAGTGTCCAAGACTTTTGTCCATGATTGTAGGTATAGCCCACAAAACTAATCAATTTTGCTTCGTTAACTGATAGTTTATTTGTATCATTTTCAAAATTATTGAAACTTTGAAAATTGAATGCAAAACCAACAGCTTTCCGGGCCCAAAACGTTACCGGGACTTTCCAGAAACAGGCCCCATGACAGACAAGACCAGCTGAGAAATGTATTTCTTATGCCTTTTTGCAGGATGGCAGGAGCCTACAAGACCCTACAAACAAGCCTGTTTATTGTGAAAAGAGGATTTTAACATTAGCATGGTTTCCTTCCAAAAAAAAATTAATCGAAAGGATTCTTGTCTGGTAAACACAGAGAGGAAATCTGCAAAGCTGATCATACTACGTAAAAATCAAGGCATATAAAGTACGACACCTATAGGTCAGACTGATTAAACGATTGTTTACATGATATATAAAAGTGCATTTCAAAATGACCAAAGCAAAAATTAAATGTTACTAATTGCCGGTTTTCAGACAAATCAGGTTCCACGCAGAAGGCTAAGCCCTTCTTTCCCTACCCATCCTTGCTGATCGTGATGAAGTCGAAGTCAGGATGAAGACACTTTTTTTTTTGTTTATCGAGGGTGTTTTTATGCATGATTGGCTTTTCCTTGTAACACAATTAAAAAATTCTTACTTAGTTTATTTATTTTATTAGATTCGCCAATTATTGGTAGGGTCACGGCAACAGCATGACGCCAATTACTGCGGGCCCGTAACAGTCCCTCTCCCCATGAGAGATAGACCACCACACCGGGGACTACGTCCCCTACTCTTTGCGAACAGTGTGTGTGTGTGTGGGTTCTTTAACGTCCCTATTTCAGGTAATCACGGGTTTTCTTTAATAGTTTGACAGTAGGTACTGTGTTCATGATCATATTTCTTGTCATAAACTATAAAAGCGTTTTGGTGCAAAGATTTTTAAAAACTATTAAAAGGCACTAGTCAGCCACCCCTCCCACTGCCACTTGTTTACAGTCGTGAGACCCCCCTTTCTCGTAAGTGACCACCCCTCATAAGCGACCAGCTATCCAAAACAACAAAAAACAAAAAACTCTACGTTTGTTGTATGTACTACACTTTTTAGAATGCAATGTACTTTTAGTCCGGCAAGATGAAAACTTAGATGATGATGATAATGATAAACTCTTTTAAGTCGTCAACAGTAATCGGCTCCTTCGTCAGTATATCTTTTAGCTGGCCTAGTACAATAAACAAAATTTTCCAAAAAAGAAAAAAACTGTGCCTAAAAATATTGATTTAAAATTTTGCCGAAGTGAAAAGAACCGGTCTGGCCTCTTCTAAGAAGGGACCCCTGTGGGTTTATTCTCGTAAGAGACCACTTCCAAGAAGCCCCTCCCCCCTAAATTGTGACTTCTTATTTCTGATTCTTTGCGTTTTTGCGCGGTTTTTGACTGTACTTTGCACATTCAGACATGCTTACGTTACCGAGTTTGTACCGAGTTGGACTAATTAACTTTGTTGGACTGGCACTGGAACGAGACTAGTGGCCAATCCCCTCTCTTGTCTACTCGCAGTACGCATGTGATAATCGTGAAGTAGGCGGAAAGCAATGGCGAAGAAAAGCTATGACTACCTTTTCAAGTTACTCCTTATAGGGGATTCAGGCGTCGGAAAGACCTGCATTTTATTCCGCTTCTCCGACGACGCGTTTAACACGACGTTTATCTCGACGATAGGTGAGAGAAAGCGATTGTGTTGTGCTATTTACCTGGTAAATGTTAGAATCCGTGAGCTCTGATCGAGTTAGGAATTTCGCTCTGCAAATGCAACCATTTTTCAGTCAGCCGTTGACTTTTTACTGTGTGCTGTGGTGCAGGCCATCCACCTAACCGCCGCACCATAAAGAAATTTAAATTTGTCGGAAACGAACCATGGCAGTTTCGTTTAAATATTTAGAGAATGAAGTTTGCCATAATTTCATCCCGCTGGGTTATGCATGTCGTGTCCAATCGTAGATAGATAGACATCACCTTACTTGAGCCTAATACACAGAGTATGATGAAACCCAAATATTGCCACTGAAGTTCACAATTTCGCATTACTATACAACGTCAATTCGAGGATGTAATTAACGCACTTGGCCAACCTTTCACAAAATGATGATTGCAACATTTTCGAGTCCAAAAGATCATTACTATTTTGAGGCTCGTTTGCAAATTCCTAAAATTTGCACTTCGATTTCCAAAGATGGGCCTTGTTTACTCAATAGTAGCATAAATTTCGAAATTCGTTAGTTTTTGTTACTAGTCTTCTCTATATCTTTTGCGGATTTATCAGCTGTTTGTGACTAAGTACGAGGGTTTTTGAACAAATTACACTAATTATTTTTTTATGTTTTTTTGTAAAATAGAAATTTTCGATGGTCATTCATTTTAACTTGAACATTCTTTGTTTAAACTTGTCTGTAAAAGGCTTGTGTTTCTATTTTTTTTTAACTACTTCTTAAAATTTTATTTGATTTCAATACATCTAAGCTGTTATCTAAGTCATCAGTTGAATGAATTGCCCCCCTGCTTGTAAATATTTATAACAATTTGGTTAAATTTGGTCAGTGACTGCACTGACTAACTGTTTAACTAGCTAGGAAGTCATATAAGAAGAAGCTTTTGAAAACATTTTATTAAACATAAGTCATGGGTTGCTTGTATAGTAAGTGAGCCAACGTTCAAAAATAATATTCCAGACGTAGTTACCAGTAATTGATAGAAATTGACATCGCCAATCAATCAATTGATATCGGAAATCAATAGAAGTCGAAGTCACGGAAAAATAATATATCTATTATTATCAATTAACAAAATTGATGACAATCAATACAAATAACAATAACAATCAATTTCTATTGGAAACTAATATTTCATTCGAAGTCACAACTTTTTTTTCTTTATCGATTTCTGTAGATTGATATCAGAAATCGATATTCATGGATGATTGATATCGATTATTACATTATTATCGATTATTGGTTTATCGATTAACTAGGTCTGGAATATTGAAAGAGGATAGCCTTTGAATGTTACTTTGATGTAAATTTGTTTGTAAGTCATACCTTCAATTTCATGCAAGTTTCTGATCAAATGCCCAGCTTTAACCCTTTACAGTCGGGGCAGCTCAAGCGTACCCCCTAAGATTCTATTAATGAATTGATTATTTTAAAAAATGAATCCGTTAGTCGTTCCGGTAACTAGTGTTAAATTCAAATTGGCATTTCTGCATGCGTACTGAGGAGTGAATATTTTACGAGAACTTCTCTGTATTTGGTCAGATTGAAAATCATTAAATGGGTTAAATTTCGTAGAAGACATTTACGTCAAATTCAGGGAAACTTAGCTGGTAGAAATTTCGTAACTGAATCGCGTGTGAATTCACTGCTCATTACACATACAAGAATGCAGACATGAATCTGAAATCTACAATTACCAACAGATTCAACTTTCGAATAATAAATTCATTAATGTAATTTTGGGGGTACGCTTGACTTGGGTTGACTGTAACTGGCAAATTGTGGGGGGAAATTTTATCGCTGCAGCTGCCTTTTGAAAAGTATTCTAAAGACTTCTATACTGTCATGAAATATATTACTATACTATAACTCCTAGGGCTATTAACTATGTATCCAAATGTTTGTCACAGAATGCTCTTCTAAATACAGCAATAAGATGTGAAACAGGATTTATTGTCAATATTTTACCAAATTGTTTCCAATTTCAACTCTCTGAGGGCACTTGACTTCCAAAGTAGCTTCAATCTGGATTGAATTGAGTAAATCGCCATCATGAGTAATAAGAACTTAATTTCCTTTGCTTGAAGATTTATCTTCAGAGTTAAAAACAACAATAACACACTAACAGATAGTTAACAGAAAGTTAACAGATAGTCAGTTAACAGATAGTTAGTTAACAGATAGTTAACAGATGGTTACGATTTGAATAGCACCTTTGAAGGTCGGTTGAAGAAAGTCACACCCAGGGTAATCCCTCAAAGCTCCAAAGAGGTAAATACTGGAATTTTATAGCTAAAAATTCAGTAGATTTCATTAATTTTGATGAAAGCTATAGTAAAAACTCACTCGAAAGTGAAGTCACAACAACTGCTTCATGTAAAAATCATTTAAACAGTCCAAGGGCCAATTCACTGAACTGAAGAGAACGTTTACCCCATGAGGGTCTTTGTGTACAAATTTGTACATTTGCCATTTAAAGGGCCAATTAACACTCCTTTGAATTTTTGTTTAGGTTAAAATGTTCACTAAACACCCCTCCCCTCCTTACTGAAGACATGGTGTACACTTTGTACAATTTCAATGAATATATAGCCTCTCTGAAAATAGTGCTTGCGGACAGTGTTACAAAATTTGATTTTTGCTCACAACTATCGTGCGCGACTAGCATACGTCATGGCTTTTGACCATCCACACGCTCACAATTTTCA